TCCATAGCATCTTATTTTATTTTACCCTATTTACTTTTAACAGAGCCAGCAGACAACATTGCAAATGTACTGCCAAGATGTATGGGTGACTTTGCATTAAGTAAATGCAGAGGCAGATCTAACTGATATGAGTCACAATTTCATGGGCAGTTTTAAAAGAGTATAAAATTTCAGCAGGGAAGTTTTTAGTCATCTTATAATATAGTGGCTTCAGAATTTGAGTTGCTTTTTGGAATTTAAAGTTCCAGGCTATTAGGGCATACCCAATTTAGATTGAATTTTCCCCTTAACTTCTTTCTGTATTTTCCTTCTAGATTTTCTTTCTGAAAAGGAAAACAATAAAACATGCTAAGTTGCGACAAACAACTAATTCCTCACAAGGTAAAGATACAGCTCTAAAGTTGTTCAGTAATGTTTCAACAGAATGGGTCTTCACTTGAAAAGGTCAGTGTTTTGAAACCAGAACTCTTCACTGTGAAATATATGCTAGTTTTGGCAGAAAGGTTTTAGCAAAGATGCAGTTTCTTCTGAGAGAGGAGGGTGAGTTTATTGTAGGAATAAACAGTGTTCCAGTGGCTGCAGCACAGAGCCTGCAGTGGTGGGTGAGTCAGTCAAGTCTGTTTTCCCTGATTCAGTGTGAGTTTTGATATGTCTTTCACACCACAGATAAAAAAACACTTAGCTACTGGCTGATACGCAATTAGAGTCTTCTCTGTTTACACTTTGTAAAAACAAACACTAGTTTTAGCAGATACTTGAACTTGGGACTTCCAAACTTTGCCTGAGCTCAGCAGCTGTTGGGTGTGATCTTCTTTCTTCTTTCATTAAGAACAAATAAATAAACACTGAAAAGATTTTCATGCAAAAGGTAAAAACACTTGAGTTTTCTAACTTTCACAAAGACAGGCAAATATTTCCCACATAGTTTTAGTCAGTTTTTCAACATATTTTATTTCAAGGGATGCTTACATGTTATTAGTGTTAAAAAAGAATTATTAAATTGAATTTACTTTGTCTTGTCATGTTCCTTTCTCTCAGTTTTTCTGTGTTTACTCTATTCACTGTTATGCCCTAAAATAGACAGTAAAGACTTCAAAGCAGGTATCCTATCTTCCTGTGGATATTTCTTTGATGCATAATGGCAGAAAACTTACTGGAGACTGGTTGCAGCACTAAATGACAATAATTTTTCTGCAGAATGTCGAGCTGCAAATCACTGACCATCTTTGTTTACTACCTCCTCACTGTTCTCTAATGTGTTATCACCAGTTTCTTGTCAAAAAAAATTCCCACATTTCTTTCAGTCATTCATCCAGATAAATCTGCTGATTTTTTACTTATTTTTCCGTCCTGCACACCTAAGTTGTTGAGTTCGTTCGTATTTGCTAGAACTCCATAACTGTGACTGTATAACCATGTGATGTGTCCCAGGGTCTTTCTCCTTTCCTCTCCCTTCACTGTCATTGCAGGGTCACAAATGATATGGCAAACCAGGGGGGTATTATTTGACGTACTTAATAAGACACAAACCTGACAGGCACTACTGCTAACACTGGATGCGGTCAATTTTTTATAATAGTTTCATGTAGAAAAGATGATTTTATTTTTTTTTTATAAATTTAATAAATCCTTTCGAATCTTGCAAAAGGATGAAAACCTCACTTTTAAGTTTTTTGCAAATCAGCATTCCTCTCCTTTCCCCCCAAAAAAATGAAATGGAAGCCTGTATTTTTGAATGTAATGCCAAATCTTTCCTTGTCTACTCCCTTCTGCTCTCCAAAAAGCACTGAAACACAAAGGACCTTCTCTTCCATAGACTTCAGAGAGTGTGGAATCTTTTTTTTTATACCAGAAAGCAACAATAAAGAGCAAATTTTTCTTTGTGGCTTATACTCATAAATTTGATAGTGATGCCAAATGTATACTCTTTTCCTCATTTCAATACCGAGTAGCTTTTAAAATGCCTTTAAAAGTAATTTTCAGAGAGTGAAGAACAAGCATGAAGTTCTGAATTTTATGTAGCCCCCAAACATCATCATTTATAAAGAGGGATAAGCCCAGCATCTGAACACGATTTGGTTGGCTCAGAGAGCACACAAATAGACTCTCAGAAGCATCAACAAATTCTTCACTGAATGAAGATCAAGTTGCTAAGGCACATTCAGAGAAGGAAAACACACACCTCAATTCAGTCTGTGAGGAAGACAAATAGTTTTGAGCTTTATTACCCTTTTTTGTTTTGAGATTCTGTGGTATTGCCTCTTGAAACATCCTCCTGCTTCCTAACTGATAAACAAAATCCTTAATTATGCTACTCACAAGACTACTTTTTAACATTAATATTCCCCCAGTTCTCTTGAGTTTCATGACAGGACTTGGCTCAATTGTCTCTGTGCATAGTGAGAAAACCAATATTCCTTCTAACGTAGCATTTTATAGGACTGAGCTCTTTTGTCATACTTTGCAAACCTAACATATTTAGCATGGGACACTAAATACATAACTTTTAATAATTGAAATAAACCAGCGCTGTCATTTCAGTAAAAGCCTATTTTCATACCTGCCAAATATGCAGAACAGGTAACTGGAGATTTACTGATTGTTGCACAATTGGTATAATTTAGCCATGGATTTATGAGTCGCACATGCAATTGCCTATTTTGTTCAGTTCTGCATATTGCACAAAAAATATTGTATTTTTTTTCCCATATTTTGCAGGTTTTTTGTAGGAAATAATGGAAAAAATTGATTTGGTGAGAAATATTAAATTGAAAGCTCATGCTTTTATGTTTTATCCATGGGTTGACCTCTGTTAATTCAGAAGGTTAATTAACCCGTAATGACACACGTTTTTACTGTGTGTATCAAACAGCATTTTTGTTTGACCATACATTGTTTTTCTTCTTTTTTTTTTGTTTTCCCTGAGAAGTGAACGCGTGCTACTGGCTGGGTTTTTTCTAATTTTTCAATTTCAACATCCCCCCCCCCAAACCCATAATTTACCCAGATTTATTCACCACCTTTATCTATAATTGATCTGGTCATATGGTCTTAATAAAGTTTAAGTAGTTAAAATGTAAGAACATGGCTATCCACCAAAAAAGTTAATTTTAAACTGTGCTGAACCACGTACACTAGATAATAAGCAATATTAGAGATATATGCATGTAACAATATACGTGTATAATAGTAATCAAAATAACATAAGTACAGTAAGTATGACTTCCAATTGGAAAATCTCCTAAACAGAATGACTTCTGAATTTTGCTGAAAAGACACAACCTCACTGAATTTCATCTCTAAGAAATATTGGATATTTGTATAAGACATTCACCATTCATTATGAATAGAAATGAGGAGAAATAGCATATTCTAAATACCAGGAAAAAACCCCAAACACCTTTCAGGATTATTGGAAGGATCCCAACACAAATGTTAAATACTAAGCTGAGAACACAGAACAGCCACATGATAATTTCTAACAGAGTTATGCTTGATATTTGAAATTTTCATGAAGCAAACCTTTTCATTTTAAGAGAATAGAGTTGTTTCTTACCCATTTTTTATTTCTTTTGGCATCTATTTAGATTTAACACCTTTTTACATAGCAGTATGTGCTATAAGTACGGTAGTTCTCGTTAGCAAAGATTTTTTACTGTTGATGTTTTCATCTAGTTCATTTCTCCTTGCTGGCAAGCATTTAATGTCTCCAGACATATTATGATTCATAAGATGAATAACTTCCTCTTGCTCTGGGATTCAGGAGACCAGCATGGAAGTGTCCTATTCCTAGAGCAAAAGCTTAGATGAATAATGTAGTATGACGACAGTATCACTCAGTGAGGGAGTTGTTCTGGGGAGTCTCTTCAGCAGCTTAAAGCTGTTGGTCAGGAAAAGGTAGATTAAGGCAGATAGTGGTCTTCTGAGTCAGATTTTTTCTAACATAAGAAATGTATGGTGGTGAAACAGTGTTAGAATCATTTTGCAATACTGTATTTGGATGCAAACTTCATTTGAGATTTTAGCTTTCAACTGCTTTACCAAATTTACGTAACACAAATGTTAATTAGGGTAGAAAATTATACAGCAAACTCTTATGCACATTGCACTTAGTCAAGGTCAAAATCCCATTTTTATCAAAATGTTAACGTAGCTTCTTTTTTTTTTAAATAGTCTGTTGACACCATTGATTTGGAAAGATGTGATATTTTCAGTAATTATTACATCATGGTGCAGTATATTTGCGTATGGGTTCATTCTGTATCTCTTCATTAAAAAAGAATTTTCCATGGTTTTCCCATACATATGTTAAAAGCCCAATTTTCTTGTAACCAGAATTTGAGTTACTTAATTGCTTTCAACTCTTTCTTGTTTTATACTTTGAATACGTAAAATTAAATACTTGTGGTTTAGAATCTGATCTTTCAGTGTAGCTGTTTTATACCTGTTTTATCTCTATTGAATTCAACAGAATTATTCATAGTGGTAAAGAAGCTGATTCAGTAATGGTTATATCCAAAAATCAGGAATTCACTTTAGAACAACTTCAACATATTGTGTTTAAATTCATAAAACATACATAGTAGCTCCCTAGTGAGTCTTGGTGAAAAAGACAAGATAGGTACCAAAGCAGAGAGATATCTTGCATTTCAGTTTTTCAGTAATTCAGAATTGGAATGTCCTTTGAATTTTAGTATTTCAGGGCGTTTATATAAGCATATAAAGTAGCTAATTAAAAAGAAAGAAGTCAAATATGATCATTCTGGTTATCTACCTTGAACTGCCCTTAAGTGCCAGCAAAAACTTGAAGTGTGTTATCCCCAAGTCATTGGCAATCATGGCTGCAACTCTAAAAAATGTCTTTTAAGAACACCAGTGTCAGATTTGTCATCTAAAACACTTGTTTGGCCCTGCAAGTTTTAAGATAACGGAAGATGACAGCAGCATCTCCTCAGAATGAAGAGATTCACAGGGAGCCATGATCTCATAGACATAGAATAGCTTGAGGCTTTGCTCTGAGTCATCTCTCTCTAATGGCAATTTTAAGGTCACTCCTGAACATGGTCAGTTTATTTTGGAGATGAGAAACAATTCTTGGCAAGAAAGAAACAGAGATCAATTGGCACGATACATGACTATAGCTCAGTTAATCAAAGTGCCTTTGAAATACCTTCAATGTGTATCTTTGGTGTTCTGTTGTTCCAGAAATGTGTTCTAAGTTTTCATCTGGTATTTTAGAAAGGAGTCTGAATTCCGTAACGTCTGGATAGGGTGTGATTTAGTTTTAGTACTTCGAAAAGTCTTCATTGACAAAACTGCATTACTAAGATTCATTTCTTAGTCTTTATTTCAAAAATTTTATGCAAGGAAGAGACCTATCACACATGTTAATTCCTTGGAGTTACAGGCTAACTCAGAGACCAGAACAGAGAGGGAAATTTTGTGTTCATATCATAGCTTTGTCAGAACAGCTGCATAGAAAGTGAGGGAAAATAAATGTTGTTGAAATAACTTCCACAGATGTGCCCGAGAAAGCAGAAAGCCTAAAGGAGACCTAAAGCTCATGGCAAGACTTTTTCACCAGGTGTACTCTGTGTGTCCACACATGCAGATAAAGAACATTTTTAGGCAGTGAAGGCAAACCATTGGTTTAGGAGGAAGTTCAATATCAAGAGAATTTTGAGTTGGTGCCAGAATGAATACTATAATGTTCTTTAATGTTTTAAGTAAAGGTTTGCCACACTGTTTGAAGAAACGTGCACGTATCCATCTGCAAAAAGCCAGCTGTCCAGGAAGCAGTTCTATTGTAAAGAGTCTACTCCTGCCTTTCAGGGAAATATGTAAGTTCTCTCTTTCTGATGTGGAACAGAAGGATTCACACTCTCTGAATACTTCCAGCTACTAGTTTTCTAGACATGTGGTCCTATCTAAACTCATGACATCCTTACCTTCTGCCCCTGAGAGCTCAGAGCTTCCTTCTTCAGGCCAAGGAGGGACTGTTAGCCCTGAGCCCTGAAGTTAACAGAGAACTCACGGTGCTTTTTTTTACTCCATCAGTACTGTCTGCTTCAGGTAAACTGACTTTCTAAACGTCTGACATGAAAGATAATTCTAGGCAAACTTTAAATATTCGTTCAAGATACGATGAAGACAAATAATTTCAAAGGCTTGTTTTCATTAGCAAATCACAGCTATGAATAGCATTATTTCTTTTCCAGTGAAGGGAAAGAATTGCCTTCTACTTTCCAGTTGATTATCTCAGTTAATATTACCTTGCACTTGCTTTCAGTTCCTTGATTACTCATGTGCAAGGAGGTGGATAGGTCTTATCTCATAACTGTGTGCACCTTGTCTCAAATGCTTTTACCCGAGCTTGGGAATTTAGCTCTTTTCTACCTAAATGAACAACCACAAAAGAAGCTTAAAAAGCTAGTTCATGAGAGTTCCTTATCAGTAACAAATATATTTACTTCTGAGAAATGTTGATGGTGATACCATGTTTCCCTTCCTATTTAAAAAAGTCTATCATTATTTTTATTGGAAATAAATGGAAAACTGTTTTCCATTCAGTCATTCATTAGTTATTGAATGGTCCATATTACTTGCTCTTCTCCCTGTGCACTGAATAATAGAATACAGATATACAACAGGGCTTTCAGAAAAAGTGTGCAAGAACAGATGGGGTTTGTGCAAAACACATTTGTATAGGTGAAGGAGGAACTTGACCCCAGGGCTTCGGATTACAGAACTCTCCTAGAGAACTGGTTCCTGGGAGCAGTCAGAGACAATGCTGAAATAGAAAAATCTGTGCTCCTGATGCTACATTTTATTCATAGAAAAGTTGCAGTTATATAGTATGGCATGCTGGTTAATGAAGCTTTAATTAGCTCTTTTTAGACTCAATAAACCTTGCAAGTGTAGGCCCTGTTCGTACACTATTGCTGACCTTCATGTCTTACCTGAAAGTGAGCAAATAACAAATGGTATTAGTGTTACCCATGAAGATAAGGCTGAAGTTGAGCAGCAATTATGGCTGAAAACCTGCAACATTTGAAGCCTTTTCAATTCTTATGCTATAAGGAGTCTTTCATACAAGTAATAAATTGGATGGCACTTAGATGAGGAGTACAAGTTGAAAGAGAGAAAAGTGAAGACCAGACAGTGCAAATCTATGTGCACGACTCAGACATTTGCCGCAGTTCTGGGATTTCTGTAAGTGGCAGATAAAGAACAATTTGACTGTAGAGCTCAAGCTGTTACTATTCAGCATTCCCAAGATGAAATTTGATGTCACTGAGCAGATTCATGGCACCCACAGCATGGCAGGAAATGCAAATAAGAAGGAAAAAAATGCAACACCTACAGAAAATGATGATGAAAAAAATGAAGGTAAAATTGGGTGTTACTTTTTTCATTTTTCTTTTATTTTTCTGTCTGTACTTTCCCATTGTGAAGCAAGGACATAAAATGATTGACATTGTTACCAGGAATAACTCCTGAAATATTGAAATAAGTAATAAGTGTCTGATGAGAACTGTGACCTGAGACAGAGAGAGGCTGTAGAGTGAAAAGGATCAAAACATTAATAGCCATTAATGCAGAACAAATACAAAAGTTCAAGGTAAAGGAAGGGGGAAGCAGAATAGGCAGACACTAACTGAGAGAGCAGACATTGCTGCTTAAGGTAGAGAAAACACACAGGAGGCAGGAAGCAAAATGCTCAGCCTAAAATATTACTGAGTGTTGTGTAGGCAAAGATATCCTAGTGTTTGTTCCCTAAAGGAAATGGAAGCTGAAGCATGTGCAGGCACACAGGGAGGCTACCAAGAAGCAGAAGTTGTATGACCAGATTGTCTCCAAGGTTCTCCATGTGCACACTCCTTATCCAGACAAAGCTGACTGCTATTCTTTCCACTTTGCCATAGGACCGGGGTTCTGGCTGACCAGCAGAGCTATAATCTTATTCCAGCAACGCCAATAAGCAACTGGTACGTGACCATGAGAAGAGAACTTCAGCATTGCAAGACCAGAACACTGGCTATCAAAAAGATTGATCACAAGGGGATATATTGTTGCCTGAATATTTTATCAACTGGCATGGAAAATCTCTACCTTCCAAGAAAACTCCCTCCCAGAAGAGCCGAGTAAATCTCAGATGAGCGATCAACTTGACCCACCACCGAAACGTTTAATTTTTTCCAAAATCAAATTAAATGAGTTAATTCTTTTTTCTACTTCTCTCTTTAATTTTAAAGTGACTTCTAAAATGTTTCCTAATGAAAAGCCAATGTGAAATTATTATATAACCTAAATGCAGAATGTTTCTGCTATTCCAAAAGCGTTGACTTCTCTTATTGCTTGCCATTTTTGACACTTACCTAGGCAAAATTTCACTTAAAATCACAAATAACTTTGGTTCTCTTCAGTATTTCAAAGAGAAATAAGGAAGTACTTGGCCAAGGGAATCAAGAAACATGTGCCACAGTAAGGAAAAAATGTGCCTTGATAGTGAGTACAAGGCAGAATTCACTGCTCTGGAGTAAGGAACTGGTTCCACTTTCCACATGAGAGACAGGACAAAGCCTGAGTAGACAGAGCTGTCTGGGAGTACCAGAGGGTTTGCAAGTCCTCTGTTTTGGATTGTTTGTGAAAACAAAGCTCTCTGTGAATTACTGTGTTATGCTCACACCTCACATTTTTACAAACCCTAGTCTCTGTTCCAACAAAATCTCACAAGTGACACAATTATAAAAGTAGACTAACATTAAAACTGACAGGATATAAAATGTTCTCAGTTCAGTAGCTTGGATATAAGCTAAAAGCAAAGACAGCACATTTCTGCACTTGAAAAACTTCCCCCAGAATCTTCTTTCAGGGACAGCTTGAAAAGACAAATTGTACTGGAGTTTTCCAATCTGTCACAGTAGAGAAAATCTTCTGAGCTGTAGAGAGATGGCTTCAAATGAATAATATATCATTTTATTTGTGAATTTATAAACAAATTTATAAATTTTCTAGTTCAGTTGGGTTTTTTCTCACTTCAAATATCAGAAATACACCTTCCAACTCTAATCCAAATACATACTACCAAATGAACTCCAAACCAAGTGTTGGAGTACCTCATTAGTTGAAATTTGTGTGTATTTGTAATGTTAATTCTCTCTTCAAAATGAAAATGTCAATGTAGAGCAAAGTGAGCAAGTATTTTAGTGGGAACTCTGGGCTAAAGAGGATCTCTCATACTGCATGAAGTTGGAATTCAGGATCAGTGTATCTTACTGAAAAATAACAGTACAATTGAGAGGTTATTGTCTCTCGTGCAAGAAGAGAGATTATGTATAAGACCCTAAACAGCAAGTTAGATTTAAAGCTAATGAAAAACTCTACCAATCTCTGACTTAAAATATCTGGATTTAACCAGTTTATGAGAAATTTGCCTCAGTGCACAGGAGTTGGTAAAATCTCATCATGCTCTGACATGACACACGTAAAACTGAAAAAAGAACAGTGTTTTCTGATCAAATTATTCATAGAAACATAACTTCCTCAGTGGCTGCTTATTCAGTGCTCATCTATGATCATCTGTAGGGTTACACTTTCATATGAACTCTGTTCTAGCATGTCATGGGTGATAGCCTTTATAGTTTGGTGAAGTTCTTAAAAATGAGCATTTTATAACTCATTTTCTACTTGTTCTGATTTCTCTTTTTGTGAACTATGTTAACTGCAGGTTTATTTTCTTTTCCTTGAGGAAGGTTCATATATATTTTTTCAGTTAAGCATTTTGATTAAATGAATCACTAAGATTTTCTGTGAAATGAGTAAGTAATGATTTTCATGTTTTATAAATGGGGAAGCTGAGGAACAGAGAAGGAAAGTGACTTTCTGTTCTGTAAGTGGCAAGGCTGGGAATAGAAACTGGAGATCTTTACTGCCAGTTCCACTCTAGTTGATGGAGACCACTGTTCCACGGGTGACATTCCCACAGCTCCACTTAGAGCTGCAGAAAAAAAATTCTATACAGTCTCAATAGTTTAATAGCACTGGCTGAAGTAGGGTCCCACCATATCCTTCCCTACTCCTCCTCCTTTTTCTTAGTTTCCTTTTTAAAGTGATTTTCCTTGTGGGGTTTTGCAGATCATATGATAAGTGATACACTAAGTAATCTGTCACAGTTTCATGCGATTTTATTACAAAATAGTAGAAGGTGATGCTCTGGAAGTGCTTTGGAGAAAATAAACTGAAAAAAAAAAAGGCAGCAGATCTTACTGATTCTTTTGAATTTTCAAAAATTAGAAGAAAGTTCAAGAAATGGACACATATAAAATTCAGCAAATTATCAAAAATATTCAAAGAAATGGTTATAAAAGTGAAAGTGTAGAAAGCCTATAAAGCCCTAAGGGAAGGGAAATGTGTAGTGGAGTTGTTGTGATGGTATGTAACTCAACACCTTTCATTTGGTATAATAATTTGAGGGTGTAGTAAGCTAGGATTTTGAACTTCTATTGCCAGATCAGAAAAAAATCTTGTGTTCCCTCTGCAAACCATCATCTCAACATAAATTGCATTTGCTAATCAAGATGTTGTCTGTCTTCACGTCATGGTAAAAACCTTCATAAACATCATAATTGGTCTGGATATTCCACAGAAGTGCAGTTTGCATCCCTGGCTGATGTGGATCAGATTTATACGGCAAAGGGATTTGATCCTGTGCAGATCTGGTGTTAGTGAGTCATGACCTGAGTCAGAATGAACAGTAAGGACCAATCTGGAAAGAATCCCTGTGTTATCACTTCTTTTACCATAGTAAAAGTCTCAACTAGACATGGTTCTGCCTCCATTCTCTTTCTGGCTCATTTCTTTGACCTGTCCATGAACAGTTTTTTGAGCCGTCTGTTCCCAGCTGCTGGGCTGTTCTTGCTCCTCTGTTCTCAGCCTCATTCTCAATGGACATACTATGTTTTTTTCTTCTGCCTCCAGTATAAGATCACCCCTGCCCAAAAACCTGTGTGCCAAAAGGATCCTTACTCAAGGTGACAGGAAGATTCAAATTCCTTACACTGGTGATAGGCAAATAAGAAGTCAGTAAATTGCTAGGGTGATTCTCTGATTTTGTCAAAAGATTTAGTTAAAAGACCCACTTCCTGAGCTCTTACCCTGTCTGCTCTTGGGCAGATCCAGGTGTTTCTTTTAAAAATATACTCTTACAAACTTTACATCCGATAGCAACAGAGCTTGCTGACTCTTTACCAGCAGGTTAGGTTGGGTAACCCCATGTAGCAGCTTCTGTTGGTGGGAAGTGAGCTGGGTTGTGCAGAAAAGCTACATGAAATGAGCTAAGACATTAAATAACAACTTTCAGCCACGAGTAAAAATTTTATGCCTGAATTATGAGCCTCCTGTAATAGAAAGTGTAAGGGAAATTCAAACAGGCTATTAATTGTAGCAGTACCAATATATTAAGATGAATAAGATTTTCTAAAGGTATATACTAAGCAATTTCAGTTCCTTTTGCTTGCTTCATTAGGATGAAATTCTTTGCAGATGCATTTTCAATAAACGTGTGTTATGATTTAAGAGCTCCTACATTGGAGTCAGTCACCTCTGCCAAGGCTAAGGAAACACCACATTCCTAATGCCATCAGGGTTTATTCTGTGGTTACATGCTCCTCTCTGCCTTTGGCTTTCTATAATCTTCATTTGACCTGCGGTAAATTCATGCTGATGGTTCTCACCCTCAAGGAAATGAAGTAAGATTAAGTTTTCTAAGAGTATAAAGTTTTGAAAATTAATCCCATAGTCCCAAAGCCTCTTGGCTGTTTTAGAAAATGGTACAAGTCCACTGGTCATGATATTTTGTTCAGTTGACAAAACTGTTCTGTGGAAAGGCTGAAACTCCTTTGAGAAGGGCAGTTTCAGTTGTTCTTGGTCAATGAAGGTTTCCCTGAAATTCTGCCTGAAATTTCAAACACTGAGAGAGACAATCTATCCAGTGTTATCCATGGCATGGTGGCTCTGTCACACAGCAAGACAAGAAAACTGGCTTAATTCCCTTTTCTGCCTGATTCAGGTCAAGGATTTTAGTCTCAGTTGAGATCTTTTGTCAAAGCACTCACTTCACCTAGTTCAATTTTTTTTTTTTTAAATATTCATGCACTTGAACATTTCTTAGGAAAGACACTGAAAAAAGGAAATGGGAAATGACTTTTAACCTGATCTTATTATGCAGGAGTGGATTGAGTTAAGTTCATAGTACATATGCATAAATATGTCAGCCAACAAATCAAGGAGAAAACCAGAGAAGGCTTAACATAAAAATGATAACCCTAAACACATTTACAAAGGACACAGAGCAGAGTTCTAGACTGAGGTAAGAACTGTGTCTATAAAAGTGATTCCTGTCACTGGAAGAAGAGAACAGTTTTGTTTCCATAAAGGATCATCTGCATTAAGTTCTTTCTAGCTGTGCATGAGATAATAAGGTTTTTTTATTCCATTACTGGTTCTCCTGTGTTCTTCCTGTGCCAAGCTTCTGCTATGTATGTATGTATGTATGTGTGCTACTGTGAACATAAATTTGTGTTACATCACTGTAGAAGTGCTTGCCATTGTATATCTGCCTGCTTAGGTATATTTGGGGAACAGACAATTCTGCCAGAAACAACTGAGTAAAAAAATATGCATCAGCATAAATGGTTCCCTTTTTTTCCTGAATATTCATATTCTCATGGGAAGTATTTCCACAGACTTCCTTTAAAGGAATGAAGTGTTTGCAAAGCTTAAAGATACAAAAAAAACATTTCCTCTGACTAAGCATCCCTAAAATGTTAAACATAATTTTCAGAATACAAAAAATATCTGTTACTTCATTTGACTTGCTCCATAAAGAATTGGTTTTCTGTCAACTTCTTCTTTCCTTCTCTGAAAAAGATATTTCCATCTGAGGCCAGTTGCAAAAAAAATTAAGGAATCTCTCAATGGAATAAAAGAAATATCAACTTTATCACAGATGAGATTGGACTATCATTGAAATTGGACTAGCACAAAATAAAGAAAATTATTTCTTTCTCACATTTCTTGGTGTTTGATGTCTATTGTCATTATGGTAAGTCCAGAACAATGCTTATTTCTGTCTGTCCAGGAGCACATGCAAGACAGCAACTTCTCACTGTTTCCGACT